GGTTCTGATCGCCGACTTTTCGCAGTCTGCCTCAGTCCCCCAACTGCCTGCGCGGCCCTTGGTAACCCGGCGACGACCGAGGCGGTATTATTTTCGAAGGCGTCAATACCATGAGTGGCAGGTGGCTGAATTTTACCGAGACTTGTCACGGTCTTCAACCCTGCTCCTTTCTCATCCGGGCTTGGGACCGGCCATGGTGGAGTTAAAGGCAAACTTTATTAATGTTATTAGTTAAGTATGGCATAAATCATTAAAGCTCAAATTTTACAGCGTTTTGCACCGCCCCGTTTCTCTTATTTCCTTTAAGCAGACACAGCTACTTCAGAGAATGTCAATTTGTTTTTCTCTGTGTTGCAAAGTCCTCTCCATGAAATTCAATTTTTCAGTCACGCTGATTTTAGGCGGGTAGCAACAAAAGGATGCCATGCAGAGTCAAAGTGTGGTGTATTCATGTAAGCGCCCTGAAGGAAAATACTTATTGCGAACAGATGGAAGGATTGAAATAATTCTAGCTCGAACAAAACACGATGAACTATCATGCCTGCATCTTAGCACTTTACTATTAGCTCCTAGATAGAATTTGATTATTTAACGTTATGGAAATTATGTTTTGTATTTCGTCTCACGACTCTGCAATCTGTAAAGCAGTTTTTACGCTAACAGCAAAAAGGGCTTAAAAACCAGTTCGGCAATTTTGGACTTTTTACATATTCGATTTATGAGTTTATCTGGAAAAGCAAACTAAATTAAATTTTGTTGCCATTTTCTTTCTTCAGAAAAAGTCATCGGTGGCGAAGCGGATGAAAACTGCAGCCGCACTCAGAAGGTGAATGACCCCCAGCAGAACTTTGGCCAGCTTTGCCGGACAGCATTCGCTGAGCTGATTGAATCGAATGATCGGCCAGATATGCTAAACTTCCGTTTCCTTTTGTGGAAGTGCATAGAGAAGTTGTCAGACGTTGCAGAATCGAAGACACGCTACTTATCTCCCGTTTTGTTGCGGATTATGGAGTAAGATTTAAATTTTGCGCACATTTTAAATTAATCTGTATAGGCAGTAATAAACCGGTGTACATTTTAACAAATGTAGAAACCGCTTTTACTCACTGTCAACTTTTTTCATATCCTTCAAACGGTTGTTTCTCTATTCATAAAACATTGAGCTATTTAAGCAAGTGAATGAACCACATTCATTTGCATTCTCCTTTCGTTCATCATGGTCAGTCTCCAACGTGTAATAAAGCTTTACAAATATTTTATGCCAAATCTTTTTATTCCATCCAGCATCGATTTCTGTTGTATATACCCGTTAAGCAGCAGGCAGCGAATAATTGTTACAACAACGAACTCAAGTCCTAAGCCACCACCTGTTGTTAATTTGTTTCCTTCTTTAGTTTAGTCCCTTCACTGTTATCGCTTGTGTGGAAAAGAGTTAGTTAACTTAAAATGCAAATAATGATAATGGATCATAATCGTAATTTTTCTTTAGGTATTTTTTAATTGAGTGAATTTTGTTAGCTACAGACCTTTCATCAGCAGTTTTAAGTGCCACCATAAGTTTCACATTGTACTCTTTTGCCGATAAGTGCATCAACTTCTTTAAATTCAACACAGTTGAAGCAGTTTTTGTTTACTTGTACGATCACGGGTGAAGAACGATTTCTACATCTTCATCGTCCATGGCCGCTTCTCCTTTTGGGTCGCGGAGGCACAACCGTCAGAGAGAGCTTCCAACGTTCCCGATCCTGAGCGAGAGGCTGAGCTTCAGCAAAAGACAAATGGAGTCTGGAACAGGCTCCTTCCATATGTTTGCACCAGGAATTCTGCCGGTCGGATTCAGAAGAAACAGTTGTTTCGCATTCCTTTCCGGTGGCATTTGCAGCACATGCTCAAACCGCTGAGCTCTGACTTGCAAGTCTCTAGAAGCAAAGGCTCTACAACAAAACTCTCCCGGATGTAATTATTCTGGACCATGTCGCGACGCGTAAGTCCAGCGACTCGTGTAGGAATGCCATTTCAGCAGCTTGTACCCGGGTTCGAAGTTTTTCAGTGATGGTCCACGATTCATGACCGTAGGTAAGGGGATAAAGATCGACTTGAATATTGAGAGCTAAGTTTTCAGAATGAGCTCTGCTTTAGTCACAACGGATCGGGCTAGTTCACGCAGAACGCCACTGGCTACTCCAGTGCTGCTCTTAAAGAGCTGCCACTCGGTTTCCAAATCAGTGATCATCGCCGGGTACTGTTAAAACCGTCTTGCGGTGTTGTTTGGAAATTTTGCTCTCGTTTCCACTGAAGACAGTGTTTCTCGTTTGATTCTCTGGTCGCTTTTGCCACCAGATCTTCGTATGGTACTCCATTTCTTACTGCGCAGCATGCCAACAACAAGATGATTATCGGTTGATAGCTCTGCGCCTCTTTTAACAGGAATATCCATTACTGAGCGTCTTTAGTCAGACGATACGATTATCAAATCGATCATCGAATTATATGCACAAGCTTCCCAGTACCATGTGTATTGATGCGATCTTGTATGCTCGAAGGTGTTCATAATGGACTGTCCGTTGTTTGCACAAACCGTTCATGCCGTTATTGTTGACGTCAACCTGTGCCATCGTAAACGCTGTAGCCTGTTGTAGCTTGAGTTACAGAATTACCACCCTTCCCCTGACAGGCTGCCAGTGAATGATTCTATCTGCGAAGTTGGGTTCTGTCATAACACCAACACCGGCCTGATCGCGCTTCGTGATATCGACACCTGAATAGCATATGTTCCACCCGCAGGTGTTCAGGATTGCAGAACCTTGGCGCTTCGTTGACGAGAGTCCAACAGTGTCGAGTTGGTACTTTATGGTATCAGCAACTAACTGCTGTTCTTTCCCCCCTGAGTGATTATATGTTGGAATTTCCGACTTTAAGCTCCCACCGGTGTCGTTCTGATGAATTCTTTTCTGACTTGCTATAAAGGCATCGCGCTCTCTGTCTCCTCCTTTCTGAACGGGTTGCGACTCTGTTGCTGACTGGTATCTTCGTCGTCGTTGCATCGGTCTTCGTCAGCCGTCGTTGTGCTGCCACGCCCCCG